TGTATAATATAAAGACTAGAACGCGACCCATTTATAACTAAAAAAACATAAGAAAAATGTTTTTGTAGATTATTTACGTATCCCATTTTTTAAAAACTCTTTGGTTGTGCTAGCAGTGTTGACAGAAATAGCGGAAATATAAAAATAATTTAATTGTCACTTTGACAAACTGAGATGAATGTTAAAAAATATTTTTAATAATATTGCTATGAAGCGTTTAAAGTTAAAGAGAAAGCATTTATGGAAGTTTTACGTATTTCCTTTGATATTCTTTACAACAGCGACATGTAAGTATTCGATAAAAAAATTATGAGTTGGTAACATAAGTACTCAAATTGATGGAATAAATTTACTGTATGGAGTCGAACAGTGATTACCTAAAAAATATGTTTAATTTTTAATATTGTTTTTCTTGTAACTTACCCCAGAGAGACTCCGGTGAGTTGAAATTTTAGAATCCACCGATCGGAAACATTGCGCATAACCCATCAAAAGTTAGCGAAAACACAAACATTACATCGGAAGGCTAGCAGTGAACTGATATCATGTGCATCAGTGTTTATAATCTTATTTCTTTTATCTACATATTACAACCTTGTTGATGAAATTCATTCTACAGGTTATCCAACAACAAAACCTGATCTAGATACACCTGAGGCACGGGACGAGAAACATTTTCCTAATGGAACAGTAATTGGTAGATATACGTATATGGACAATGATGGTAATCCTATCCAAGTGAAGTACTACGCTGATGACGCGAGCTATGGGTAAGGAGACCAAATTCTAAACTTTACGATTGTGTAACAACCAGTAGGAGGAAAGGAAAGAAAGGATGTATTTTATCATTTTATTTTAATTAGTCTTGTATATCATGATCCCCTAACTCAACATCCCAGTAGTGAAAAGCGAATTACATTCTTAACTAAAAGGTTTTCAGGTCAAATAATTTATATCAAGAACTTTTGTTTCAGGGTTGAATTAAAAAGCATTAAAGTTGTAGATTCAGAGCATGCACCATCGCAACAACCTACAAAGGTTCATAGCGCTCATATTGCTCAAAAAGATCATCATGCTCAAAATTCTCAAAAAAATCCAAACAGATTTGATTATACTTTATTCAAAAGTACGGATCCTGATACAAAAATGTCTACAGATTTGAACCCTAATTATCCCATTGTACAGTCTGGATATCCACAAGGATACCAATATCAACCTGGATATCCGACGGGATACCAATCTGGATATCCAACGGGATTACAAACTGGATATCCGACGGCATATCCAACGGGATATTCAACTCAAAATCCTACTGGATACAAGTACAAAAATGACCCAATCGACTTTTTGAAAGAATTGAATAAAGGTAATCATTATAAAGTCGAAAAAGATAAACCAAATCCTGACTATGATGTATACTTTCAAAATGAATTAAGAGGAGCTAAGAAATGTAGTAAGCAAAAAGTCAGAGTGTACTATGATGGGAATGACGCAAATAGGAAACTTCGTAGTGCAGTTAATACATATAATGACGCTAATAAGTTTTGTGAGCAGTTCTAGTAAGATAATTTTAATAAAACAATTTTAAGTTTAAATATTTTTTTATTTAATAATAATTTATCCTATCATACTAACTATAACGGTTACTTGACCATTAAGATCGTAGAGGTCGGTAACTGTAGATCCTTTGACAATGAGGCATTCGGATCTCTCGCACAGTAAGTATGGATCTTGGTTTTCTCTCACATGACCAGCGTCACCAAGATAACAGTAACCTCGTCTTCTATCTTCACCTAATAGTGTTATCTATATAACAAAAACACGATTATTATTGCAGGTGCCATTGTGTTTGTTTTCCCGTACAGCATCGCATAATAACTTCATTTAGCGTTTCTATTGAATTTTGTTGGGCAGAGTAATTAGGGTGAATAAGGACAAAATTTTGAGAAAAGTCTTGTTGATACTGATTTAATCCAAGTAGTTTAGAAAATCAGAGCTGCGGAAGACTTAACGGTTTGCTGGGGCTTCGGCTCGAAGAGCAAGAGTAGAATCGCGGGGGTTTTTAGTCAGTAAGAGTACTGACTCTCTCGTCTCACCTGGGCGGGGAAGTCATTGGATGACATTCCCCCATCAGAAAAGACAGTGGTTTGGAAGGTAATTGATTTTTGAGTTTCATTTCATACACTTACACTGAAGACTTTTTCTGTATCTTCCAATTTGCACAGCCACAGCAAAAGAACTTCATCGTCAATAAATTCTAGTTTAGTTGCGCAAGTTTTATGATCACCACTATTTTTGCTGCGAAGGTCTACAAACTTCTGAAAATAAAATATATTTGATAGAAGGTCTTGGTCTTGTTCAGCACTAAAACCCTCGGTTCCTTCTGCTGAACATTACAAAAACTTGACAAGACCTTAACACAACTAGCGATACGTTTTATTGCTATAATTAAATAATACCCCAGAATCATAATCGAAGATTTTCTCAGTCTGGGTCTGGATACTCCGAGTAAAAACGAGTGTTTGGTCAGATTTGATACCAGGCAGTTTAATAGGATTCGATGACAATTTCACGGCCATTAATAGTAATAGCTTATTGTCTCTCAAAGTATTGCGAACAGTTGGTGTCGACTCTGCGTTTCTCATCTTGCTTGATCTGAAAACAAAAATTGGTAATCTAATTACAATCAAAGTTCGAACAGTAGGAGCTTAAGATTGTGACCGGTGTATGACAAATTATACTAAACCCGATTGGACAATTTGGGCTTCTTACTTGGGCCGTGGGGAATGAGACTATAAACATAACACGAGTGGATGTGACGTCAAATGACGCATGCACCAATACATATAGATTTTTTTAGAAAAAAAAATCATTCATTGGTTGCTGTTTCATAACTAACCTTTTTTGAGTTTCCATTATAAATGTAGCCACGCATTGTACTTCATTGGAGAAGTTTGATGCTTTTAGCGAAATTTCTTGAGGTGTTGTGTCATCTAAAGTTTTTCTTGGAACCTTGGAATGATCGAAATGGAAATGTAGCATGAAGGAGTCGATTGTCACCATTTTTGAACAAATCGTCACTGGACACATCACTGGTCTGAAATTAATAATAATGAAGTCGGTAAAAATAGGCAGGATGTACTACCGTACAAAGTTGTAGGTTTTGATATCAATGAAAAGTAATGAAGAAGTTACTAGACCAATAAATGACATATTCTACCTTGGAGCAACATGGGAAGTGCTTAGACATGATATATTGTCTTCTGTGTTCTTCAAACCTTCAACACCTGTAGTAACACTTGAGCTGGTCTCTTGATAATACAAATTTTTGTATTCAATTATTGCTTCCATGTTTTTCTTAGATTCTTCTTCTTGTTCCTTGAAATAATGTTTAAGGTGTCCATTTTTGTTTTTTGTTTTTTGACATGTCATAGCACGAAACACATATTTTTTTATATAGTTATGAACTTACCTGAGTTTTTACTAAGGTTTTATCTTCTTTGCAGCCTTTCTTTGATTCTTTATTTAGATCTGAAAAATAACGTTTTGAAGTAGTTTCCCCTAAATAAATACGACTGTTTTACTGATGGTAAGGCTAAACAGAGTAATGTTTCCTTGCAATTCAATTACTATGTTATTACAAACCTTGAGCTGCAAATGTGTCAAAGTCTCCGCTTGATAAATCTTGTAATTTCACCATCAGGTCATTATTTGGATTCTCCTTTTTGTCTGGATTGTTGTCGCCACATTCATTACGAGTATCTTGTGTAACATCTAAGTATGATAAATATTAAATTTTGAATTTATTCAAATAGATAAAAGCAATCTTGGATACAAAGGCTTCGAAAATGTTTTTTCACCCATTATCGTCCCACTTCCACTGCAGGACTAAGGCCTAAGGCCTCCTTAGTCTCTTACCACTCCTCTCTCATGTAAAGCTTTTTGAAAGATAAGACAAGATCCAAGAAATAATAAAATCTTTTATATGTGAGACATTTTTTACAACATTTTTAATTACTATACGTACCATATTTTTGGCAACTTTTACATATAATATGCCCACTTTCACAAACGTAAAGGCTTGACTTGGCTGTTGTTTTACAAACAGAACATTGCATCGGAGTCTTCTCGGTACTCGATGACATATCAGAAGGAGTAAGACTTTGCACCTTGAACAAAATATATTGTATAAAATATGTCTATTCTTTGAAAATAAAATCACTAAATGTTACGTTGAGTCCTAGGCTTTACCTAGTGATGACATAATTAAGTATTTAATTTCCGCGGATTATAGAGCTGGAGATTACAGAATACTGAACATGACTCGACTGAAAAAATGTGATAATTTTACACGCTCAATCTGAAAGAAAGATTCAAGATTTTTAAGGAAGATTTTGTTTTAACAATTGAAAGAAATTGGAACAAAATAATAAGCTAACAGGCCCTGTTTGGTTTAAATATATTTCCTTCATTGTTTTAGGTAAGTAGAGTAAATAAATAGACTCGTTTAGTATATTATGCAATTTTGTTTGGTATGCGAGCCGTAGTTGTACTAAAGAGGCCTATTCGCTCCAGATGCTACGCGTCAGAACTGCAGATGAAGTGGCGCGGGCAAAACTATTACGTGGTGTTATGTTCTAGAGATTTAAGGTGCAGTTTAGTTAATATTAACCAACAATATTCTTTTGTATTTAATTTCTTTAGAAATAATTGTACGCTAACTGGAGAACAGGAATTTAAAGCAACGTATTTGTTTGAGAAATGTCTGTAATAGTGCTTTTTTACTCAAATAACCTTTGTCTAAGTGTAATAAATACAATTGGAATTGTTTTTGGACTTGGAAACAAGATGAAGTTTTCATTCAGTGTAATACTTGTAAATCTTTATGGAGGTATTCAACGCAGTTTTCTTTCAAGTATTGTAGGACATTTTGTATAGTTTAAGAGTAGAAATAATGTAAGAAAACTTCACCAAATTGTAAAACCATTATACTTACAAAACCAAAATAACAAAAGAATAATATTCAGCACTACACACTAATTCGAAAACTTCTGTTCACTGCCTCTTAACTAGTCGTCTTCTAAGTTTATTTAGATACACTCCAAGGTAGTAAAAGCAATGGAAGGTTTGTTATTCCTCTCACTTACTTAGTATTCTAATAGCTGTTCGTTACCACTCTTTATGTTTTGAATTTATTGAAAATATATGTATGTAGCGAAAGTGTATTAGTCTTAACAGTATGGCCATGCATCGCCTTCGCATCCGGATCAAAGTGACGACACAACACGTTGAAGTCATTCTTAAATACATTGATCTGATTACTTTAGTACTGATCAAGGAATTACATTTCCTTAACACACAGGAATATATTGGTAGACTATTTTTATTATAGGACTATAATAATTGAGCAAAAATTAGTGCTAATATTTGCTATACATAACTCCTATTTATGCCTTCAGGGATTAAAAGATTCGATGCTACGTTATTATTATGTTGTTACCATACCTTTTTTAACATATCGACGTAATTATAAGGGTTGAAAAATAAATAAATACCTCGTAAATAACTATAAAGATTGACAAACTGTGACATTTAACGACCCCAATAGATTGTCATTAGAAATACCGTGTCTATTAAATCAATACTTAGCGTTAAAAACTCTTTGTTGAAACAATAAGCAAATAGTTTAGGTTTCGACCGTAGGTAATAAATGAGTTTAAGGCAAGGGGAGGCTCCTCTAAAAGATATTGAAAAAAGGCTACTATAGAGTTACACCAATAATAAGTAGAGGAACATCATGACGTCCGGCTTTACTTAACGTCTATTAAATTAAAATAAAAATTCCTTTTATTTCTTGCATTCTGTTTAGAATACACTTTAAAATAATGTGGGAAAATAAAATAAAAAACAAAAAGTTATAATGTTTACATCCTTGATAAAAAGAACAAACACAGTGTTGTGCAAGAACCCCTCCTCATGTGAAGGTCTTGCGCTATTTGCGGCCAGTTGGGTATAATATTTCGTCTCCAGGTACGCTATTATCAAATGTTAAAGAACGGCCCATATTCTATCTAATGAGGCAAAAATATTTAATTACGTACGCTGGTCATGAACACGGAAAAATGAAAACCTAACCGGGGATCCGGCTCGACGTGCAGGAGAAGGAACGGGGTGGTTTTTAGTCAGTAAGAGTCTGACACCACTCCCTCCCGCCTCAACCAGGCGGGAGCAGTCATTCGATTATTTAATGCCCTTAAAAAAAAGACGTTTCAAAAATAAATTTTGGAATGTTAGAAGGCAAATCAAGCAATTGAAACGTATCAACCATTAAAAACTAGTATACATTGTTGCTAATAGAGCAATGATTAATTAGATATTTACTACAATTGACAAGAAAACGTTATTGCGGATACTAAGTAAATGCCAGTGCACTTATGTATGCGGACTATGTATTTTAATTACCCTGTACTTCCCTGTCCGTTGTCGGTCAATTTAATTTGTCAAAGAAAATGTAGGTAAACCTGTGAACGAAATGTTAATGTTAATTTCCTTTGGCCGTGTGGCGTTGGCATAGTTGTAGTACTCTAATGGCTAACTGCGATGCCCAAGTCGCCTTTCGAGCGTGGGAAGAATGACGCACGGTTGACGCGATGGCTGGGCAACCGTTTTTAACTTGGTGATGGTTTTGATCCCCGCACGGAGTATTTTCGTGTGATCCACAAATTATTGTTTCTGTTCTGGGTGTCATGTGTGTGTGTAAAACTGTATGTTTATAAACGCGCCCACGGTACAGGAGTAAAAATTCTAATGAGGGATGACTTTTTTTAATTTATGAATCACCTTTTTCAGCAGTGGACTTAATACTCTGGTTGATAATGATGGTGAGTTTTTTGTACAGAGCTAGTTCGTCAAACAACTACATATTTGGGCACCTATTACGCCAATCACTTTTTAAATCAGGTTGTTATAAAAGAACTTGTGAGTTTGTGAATTATTTCATTTTTACTGAATTTAATTAATTAATATCATGTTAGTTTCAGTGAAGTGTAAACTTGTAAGTAATTCGACTGAACCAGAATTATTGAAAACTTCAGATTATATAATTTGAAATCAAACAAATATTACTAGAATATGTTTTTATAATAACTATTGTGAGACATAAAATTATGAGATACACACGTAAATACACTAAGAAAAGCTCTACTACAACCTACTAATCACAGAGGGACTCTTCCTCATGATCAGCGTGCGCGGTCTCGGCTATATCGTGCAGCCTATGAGCTTACAGACTAGTAGAGATTTTTCTCAGTATATTTGCGTTACTCACGTAAATATATTGAAAGTTTTATACTCGTAATATATTTAGTTAACTAGAATATAACTGAGAAAGTAATCAAAATTATATTTTATTATCATTATGTTGTTTTGCTTAGGCAGGCACGTGTATACGTCTGTTATGTGCTAATAATTTAATGACCTGTTCTACCAACTGCATTTTCAGGTTTGATTTTCGAAGCTATTTGATTCGTTGATCGGTTAAATTAGCGGAAAATGAAACTATCTTCGTTTATTACACTTATAACTGAATTTTATGAACATCATTATTAGTTAATGGATTTTTGAGTTTTAAAAGCTAATCTCATATTTATATGAAATACGGAAATCCAATAAGAACTCCAATTTATAAAAATATCCCAAGTACCCTTTCAGAGTGATGGCCCTACGCCAGAAATGAAACTTTCATTTTTTTCTAACATTGCCTGCACTTTTTCCTCTTAGGTGCGTATACAAACATATGAAATCACAAGAATAATTATTATCTCACCCAGAATTTACTTATAAACATTGAATAGAATGCATTACAAAACAAAGTATAGCAAAGTAAATGTGCAAGGTAGAATGCTATGGTTGTATAACTGGGCCGCATAACCAGCGGATATCGTAATGCATTACATTTAGTCATTACCTATATCAGTAGGGTACTTTTTTGATAATGTCGATTCGCAATACGTAATGTTTCTGCGATTTATTTGATACCGATTTTGTAACAATGCAATTTGGACAAAGATTGAGGTTGACATAAAAAAAGTGGCAAGAGCAGTTGTGTGATGAATGGGTTTCAAGATGGTCTGAAACAATTTTTAGTTGATTGGTAGGTAGAGAAGGCAAAACTTTGAGGTCTTCCTACATTTTTATGTAAATTGAAAAACATTTCTCTGTACAAACCAAGCTCTGTCCACGTTTATGTTATGATTACAGGATTACGTGATAACTTGCTAGTCAGTTATTATGCCATATCTTATGCTCCTTCGATTGATAAGGCATTTTGTATCAGCTTCCTAGAACAAGGAATTAATCCACCGAGACAAATTGGTACTTGTAACTATCTTCAGCAGTATATAATATAATTGATTTACGTCATCCATAATATTGTTTTCTTGATGTATAACGACCGTGCCTTACTTCCATTGTCACATAATTAGATGTTCGGAAAGTGGCCTAGTAATCGTGCATTACATAAACAGTCTCGCGTATTAGTGATATATTGTAAACGAAAAATATGTTAAACTATTTTCTTGGGCAACGGAGCGGTGTAGAAAATGTTTCTGAATTGTTTTGTTGTAAAGATTTTCCATGGAACGGGAACGGTAAATTGTCGACGACATAGTTTTCAACATTTCAATGTTGTCATCTTAAGTAGGTGCTTATTAAAAATGTATTTGTTTTCATTAGTGTTTCAAGTATTTACCTTTGTTTTAGCGTTGACCTGTTTAAAGAGAATGAGGCTGAATATGGTGTCCTAAATAATTAATGTTTGAAAAATAATTGAGAGATCGTTAAAATGGTGAACAATTA